TTGTTTTGTAACATTCTAGTTGGTCTGTCTGTTTCTTTCCTTCCTGCTGCACATTACTCCATGTTTCTTCATCCATTGTCAGTTAGTTGTTGTGTTGCTGTTCTTCCTCTTTTCAGTCTAAATTCTGCAGGGAAGCAATATACTGTAGGACTACAACTACCATGTACAAAATTGTATTTGTATAGCGCCAATTCATAACAGAAGTTATCTCAGAACACTTTTCAAATAGAGCAGGTCTAGACCGAACGTATTTACAGAGACCCAACACTTCCCAGTATCTAAAAGAGTTAAAATGATCTCCACCTCAACTTCTACAACACTAAAATAATTGTTACACATGAATGTTTCAATCGTTATATCCTATAATATCATATATAACACTCAAAGGGGACACTTTTTTGAATTATTAGTACTTTTATTTCAGTGACATTTTCAATGCAGGACTTTAACTTGTGATTGAGTATTTTTACATGCAGTACTGCTACTGTTACTGAAGTAAAACAACTGAAGACTTCCTCCACCACTGCACACTGGGAGTCACCAGCAGGTTTGCTTCTTTAAAACTTTATTGAACAAGAACGACACAGACAGACAGAAATCATACACTGTGGTGACATCACAGTGACATCAGGAACTGAAAAAAAAAGATAAATTGAAGGTTTTAAAAGTTTTCTTCATCTCAGAATGAAAAACTTTTTTAATGTTTAGTCAAAGACTAATACTGAAGGTTTATGATTGGAAGATTTTTGAGGAACTCAAGCTATCTTCCATATTTGGAACATGCAAGAACTTGATTCTGACACCATGACACCAGGGACCTGCTTGTTGTGAGAGAAGACTTTTCCAGAAGTTTTTCAATGAGACTTTTTCTGATCCAGTGATAGGGCTCTTAGGATGCGAGTGTCTGCTCTAACAAAGCAGCCAATCCCGAAGACAACGATCTCTTCAAAGTGTCACAGCGCTTGAGCTAAACCTACTCTGGAGTTCCCTTCTCTCCTTTATCTAAACATTAGGGGGGCACATAACCAAGCGGTTGAGACTACCCTGTTGTTCCTGTTCTCTAAATACAGATGATAGTTAGTCACACAAACTCTGAGATACTCTGCTGTGTCTCTAATGGAACCTAAAGGAATGTCTCGGGGTCCATAATGTAGCTACCATGTGGAGGGGGGCTTACCTGGAGGCGTAGAGGAGGACCAACCCTGGTCCGGTTTTAAAGAAAAACCACCAAAGAATTCTCTTTCAAAAAGTTTAATACTCTTTATTTAACTGCAAATCAACACAGTTCTCCTCGCTATGACTCATACAAATTCTAAAGAAATCAAACATCAATACATGTTAAAGATACAACAGGTCAAAGGATACAACCAAGGCCTGAAAAGGAATCAGAGCTCAAAGAAATACATAAAACAAGGACTCTGGCTCCTCGTCTGTCTCATCTATTTACAGATTTCAGCAGTTGCTTTTCTAACACTCTCCAACTTTCCATCCAGCTTGTGGGCAGACAGCCTCCCTTTCACCCCCGTTCTTCCTGTGGAAGGCTTCAGAATAACAACTTTCTCTACACTTTTCCTGTTGCAACACCTGAGAGAAGGCTTAATTGAGATAATTTTCTAAATGAATACAGTTCAAACTATTAATACAACTCAAACACTTAAAACCATAATGCGAAGTGATGTGAAGAAATGAGTACAATAGAAAGGATGATTATCCATGACAAGAGAATGAGTATGATGTTAAAAATGTACAATAATGAGCATAGAAGTACTTAAAAGAACGTGAGACTGCATGTGAGTACAGATATATAAGACTCTCTGTGTATCTAAAGAACTCATCATACAACCATAAAATACAACCATGAGCATTAAACCTGAGTACATAAAGGTAAAGGACTACATGAGCAGAATATATATGTATATAACTGGAATACATGAACTCAACTGAACAACTACAACTAAGAACTACATGGGATTGTGGGAAGAACAGCAAAGTGATCTAATAAATCAAAGTCAATCAATTAATCAAACAAAGCAAAGTATCGACTGTCTTTAACCCAATCTGACCCCAAACTCAGAGACCTTAAGGGTTAATCAGTGTGACGATGATGAGAGGAAACAGCTGAGATGGTGAGAGCAACTGAAAGCTGTTGTTCACATTTTCCTCCTTTTAGCCTCTTTAACAATGGAATGATTGATATCCTCACTACAGCTGCTCCACAAGTTCACCTCTTTAACCCAAGGGATTTCTGACATCAGTCCTTAAACCTGCAGATTCCTCTCAAATCATTTGGACTTTCTCTCATTTCAAACTACTTTTGGACTCTTTCAGCTCGTCATTAGTTTCTGACTTTATACCTGATCTGTGCTGTTTGAAAATCCACCAACTCTCTGAATTTTACAGCCTTGTATTGAATAAACAGCTGAGTTGGTTCTTGATCAGTGGTTTGGTTTACACTTTTTATGTCTCTCTTTTCAAATGTAAAAGTCTGAACTATCTGGTCAGCAGCAAGAAGGTTTCTCTCTCCCTCCTACAGAGGACACAGAGACACTGAGGAACCAGAGCTGTAAGATCCAAACCAGAACCTGAACCCAGGATAAAGAGGTTCAGTGAATGTGGTGTTGAAGGTGTGGAGGTGGATCAGTGTGTCAGAGGAGACTGTGTAGAAGGACAGAGTGCCAGCAGGACAGTCCACATACACTGCTACTCTACCAGAGGAGGAGGAGGAGGAGGAGGAGGAGGAGGAGATGAATGTTTCTCTGTTATTGTGACAGACAGAGTATCGACCATAAAAGCACTCCAGACTCCAGGACTGATCATTCCCTCCAAACAAACAGTCTCTACTGTTTCCTCTCCTGATCCCTCTGTAACTCACTGATATATCAACTCCTCCACTCCACTCGACCTCCCAGTAACAGCGACCAGTCAGACCATTTCTACACAGCAGCAGAGGCCAGTAGTCAAATCTGTCTGGATGATCAGGATATGGCTGATCCTCCCACACAACTGTCATCTCCCTGTTGTTGTCAGACAGTTTGATCTTTCTGTTCACTGTGTTTGTGTCGACTGTGAGTTCACAGGAATCTGATGGAGAGAACAAGACACAATACAGCTGCAGTTATTGATCTATCATCTGATCATTGATTGACACTTTGATGATGACATCAGAGCGGTGAATGAGTGATGTCACAGTGTGAAGATGGTTGAATGTGTGCTGCTTTGTTTTCACACTTACACTTCCTCAGACCTGGTCTCAACCATCGGACTCCAGCAGGCTCCACCCTGAAAGGAGGAGGGGGGTCAGAGCAGCATGGAAACATGGACATTACATCGCTCTCATACACAGAGCTTATTCTCTACAAATGGACTTACATCTTCACATGGAGCACTTATTATTAATCAGCTGAGAATAAACACAGACACAAACACAGACTGTTTTCTCCCATGCATGCAGTGTTCACAATAAACTAAGACATTTCAAGCACTGGAGACAGAAATCCATAAATGAAGGCTAGAAAGAACAAAGAGAGAAGCTGAATGACAGTAGTCTGAGAAACTTCAACACCAGTTCTCAGCCAACAACTCTGGTTCTGTCTGTAAGGGACAGATAACCACCTACAAACCTAAAACCCCCCACTCCATCAACAACTGAATGAGTTCTACTGTCGCTTTGAAAGACAAAGGGACAGTTCTGATATCTTCCCCATGTGACACCCTTCACCGGCTCCATCTCATCAGCTTCCCCACCCACGATGGACCGTCTGGTGACCTGGTGCAGCCAGACTAACCTAGATCCCAATGCTCTTAAGAGAGTGCAGATGGCGGGCTCCACCCTGTGTGACTCCCCAGTTGACTCTGTCCTTCCGCTTCCTGGTTACCATCATAACCCAGGACCTCAAGAAAGCACAACAGAGGATGTACTTGCAGCAACTGAAGAAGTTCAATTTGCCAAAGACAATGATGGTGCAATTCTACACCGTCATCATCAAGTCCATCCTCACCTCTTCCATCACCATCTGGTACGCTGCTGCCACTGCCAAGGACAAAGGCAGCCTGCATTGATCGTATTTGCTCTGCCCAGAAGGCGATCGGCTGCAATCTACTATCACTCCTGGACCTGCAAGCCTCCGGGAACTGTTCGTCTCGAGGACCCTGAGGTGTGCGGGTACAATTGTGGCTGACCCCTCCCACCCCGGACACTCTTTGAAACACTTCCCTCTGGCAGGAGGCTGCCAACAGTTTATTCCCATCTGCAGATGGTGTCATCAACAAGACTCAGGTCCCCCACTGACACTGACTCTTAAACCCAACCTTGAAATATGTATTATATATATATATTCATGTATAATTTAATGCATTATAATCGTGCACTTCCGTTGGTTTTTCTATTTTGCACATTGCAAATATAATTATATGTCACACTGCCAACTTACAGACTTACCGATATATTTTGCACATTTCTGCACAGCTCTTTTATTTACAAAGAGGCTCTTTTTTATTGTCTCTTTTTTAAAATGTTATCTTAATTTGTTTAGTTTATATTTTTCTACTTTTTTATTGTAATTCCTTTGCACATGTTCCAAGGCAAATTCCTTGTATGTGAAAACTTACTTGGCAATAAACCAGATTCTGATTCTGATTCTTATACCTGAGAGTGTCCAGTCTCCATTTTGGATCCTCAAGTCCAGCAGACAGCTTTGCTGCTGAGTCTCCTGGATGATTGTAGCTCAGGTCCAGCTCTCTCAGATGGGAGGGGTTGGAGCTCAGCGCTGAGGCTAGAGAAGCACAGCCTTCCTCTGTGATCAGACAGCCTGACAGCCTGCAAACACACAAATCAACACATTACAAAATATATTTGTTCATGGAAAGAGACTCAAACTAAATAAACAAAACAGGTTTCAAATCATATAAACAGAGACAATGTTATAAAGGTTCAAATGTTATTTGTTAACATAATTCAGGTTTGACAGGGTTATCAATTGAACGGGTTAATGAATCCTGACCTGAGAGTTTCCAGTGTACAGTGTGGACTCTTCAGTCCCACATTCAGCAGCTTCAGTCCTGAATCCTGCAGGTTGTTGTTACTCAGGTCCAGCTCTCTCAGACTAGAGGACTGGGAGCTGAGAACTGAGGACAGAGCTTCACAGCTTCTCTCTGAGAGGTTACAGTCAATCAGTCTGTCGAGACAATGATCAACAATGAAAAAAAAAAAAACATGTGTCCAGCACTTTATCACTTAGCCAAAAACAAGAACACTTTAAACTAGTTCTGTAAAAATGATACCAGCAGCTGGTGAGGAGATCCCAATGTTGGTGATATATAATGTCTTTATAATCTCTCTAACTCGAAAAAGATAGCAGAGTATTTCAGTAATGATACAAATATCCAACTCTCTATGTACTTACAGAGCTTTGTTGGAGGCTTTGACCACTGGCAACAGCCTCAGGAGAGCCTCCTCTGAAGCAGAGTATTTCTTCAGGTCAAACACATCCAGATCTTTTTCTGATGACAGTAAGATGAAGACCAGAGCTGACCACTGAGCAGGAGACAGTTTATCTGTGGAGAGACTTCCTGAACTCAGGGACTGTTGGATCTGATCCACTAGAGAACGATCATTCAGTTCATTCAGACAGTGGAACAGATTGATGGTTCTCTCTGCAGAGGGAGTCTCTTCGATCTTCTTCTTGATGTACTGAACTGTTTCCTGATTGGTCTGTGAGCTACTTCCTGTCTGTGTCAGCAGACCTTGAAGGAGATTCTGATTGGTCTGCAGTGAAAGGCCCAGGAGGAAGCGGAGGAACAAGTCCATGCGTCCATTTGGACTCTGTAAGGCCTTGTCCACAGCAATCTGGTGGAGATCTTTTAGATTCTGTTTGTCAGAAAAAAAAATAAATAATAATTGAGACCACCAGGATGTTGTTTGTTCTTCTGCCAGCAGATTGACTCCAGAGTTGATGAATGTCAGATGGACGTGAAGAGCAGCCAGAAACTCCTGAACACTCAGATGGATGAAGCAGAAGACCTTGTCCTGGTACAGTCCTCTCTCCTCTTTAAAGATCTGTGTGAACACTCCTGAGTACACTGAGGCTGCTCTGATATCGATGCCACACTCTGTCAGGTCTGATTCATAGAAGATCAGGTTGCCTTTCTGCAGCTGCTCAAAAGCCAGTTTTCCCAGAGACTCAATCATCTTTCTGCTCTCTGGACTCCAGTGTGGATCTGTCTCAGCTCCTCCATCATACTTGACATTCTTCAGTTTGCACTGAACCACCAGGAAGTGGATGTACATCTCAGTCAGGGTCTTGGGCAGCTCTCCTCCCTCTCTGGTCTTCAACACATCCTCCAGAACTGTAGCAGTGATCCAGCAGAAGACTGGGATGTGGCACATGATGTGGACGCTTCGTGATGTCTTGATGTGGGAGATGATTCTGCTGGCCTGCTCCTCATCTGTGAACCTCTTCCTGAAGTACTCCTCCTTCTGTGGGTCAGTGAACCCTCTGACCTCTGTCACCATGTCAACACAATCAGGAGGGATCTGATTGGCTGCTGCAGGTCGTGTGGTTATCCAGAGGCGAGCAGAGGGAAGCAGTTTCCCCCTGATGAGGTTTGTCAGCAGCACATCCACTGAGGTGGACTCTGTAACATCAGTCAGGATCTCAGTGTTGTGGAAGTCCAGAGGAAGTCGACACTCATCCAGACCGTCAAAGATGAACACAACCTGGAACTCTTCAAACCTGCAGATTCCTGCTTCTTTGGTTTCAGTAAAGAAGTGATGAACAAGTTCCACCAAGCTGTACTTTTTCTCTTTCAGCACATTCAGCTCTCTGAAAGTGAATGGAAATGTGAACTGTATGTCCTGGTTGGCTTTGTCTTCAGCCCAGTCCAGAGTGAACTTCTGTGTTAAGACTGTTTTCCCAATGCCAGCCACTCCCTTTGTCATCACTGTTCTGATTGGTTCATCTCTTGCAGGTGAGGCTTTAAAGATGTCTTCTTGTCTGATTGTTGTTTCTGGTCTGTCTGGTTTCCTGGATGCTGTTTCAATCTGTCTGACCTCATGTTCATCATTGAGCTCTGCAGTCCCTCCCTCTGTGATGTAGAGCTCTGTGTAGATCTGGTTCAGAAGGGTTGGGTTTCCTGCTTTAGCAATGCCCTCAAACACACACTGGAACTTCTTCTTCAGGTTAGATTTAAGTTCACCCTGACAAACTCCAACAATATATTCTTAATGAAGACACAGAAAAGAAGATCATTAAATGACTGATTTAAAAAATATGACTTTCCACTAAAGCAGCGGTTCCCAAACTTTGTGTTAAACTTCCAGCTGGTGGCAGCTACCTTGAAAATGCTTTTTGGGGAACAGTTGTGCTGGTTGGCTGGCTGTTGCTGCTCAGCTGTGTTAAATGGCTTTTACAAAAAATACATCATGAATTACCATAAGAGTTACATTTATAAACTAATGATAAAGAGGTTTACAACACACACAAGTCAGGAGAGGGTTTTCTCTTCTTCTGTTTTAAGACTGAAAATGAATTCACATATCGAAGCATTGTTATGCATTAATTGGGGACCAAATAAAATGGGTCCATAACCAGATATAGACCGATTATTGGATCCAATATTCAGCATTTTTCTGTTTTTTTCATAATTTTTTTTTAAACCGATTGCTGTTAAAATAAATAATTTTTAAAAACAAAGACACGAGTAATAGTAGAGTAAAATATAATATTGAATATTAATAATATTATTATTATTGAAAATATATTTTTTTCAGATTTTATTAAACATATGCTTAAATGATCTTTTACTTAAGTTAAAGTAGCAACATTACAATACTTAAAGAAACTTAGATTATAATTATTAATGTGTTCAATCTATAATAATTATTCATATTTTTTTATTTATTTATATTTTATATTGATAATGTGAATCTGCAAAGTAACTAAAGTAATAAATAAATGCTCTTAGTTTCACTGGTTATTCAAAATATTTTTTCCTGCAATTGTTCGGTTCCAAATATTGATTATCGGTTTCCTTCATTACTAATAATCGGTATATGTAACGGCCCTGAAAGAAACATATAAGTCGATCCCTCTCAGTGACCCATTCTGGGTCCCAACCCAAAGTTTGGGAAACACTGCTTTAAAGAATGAGTATGTGGATATATTTTGGTCCTTCTGTTGAGACATCAGTAAATGTCTCATTTATCCAGCGAGTTCAATCTTTAGAGAAATCCTCTTACTGCTCTGCAGACAGTCAGCCAGCTCCTCCTGCTTCATTCTCCTCAGGAAGTGCAGTGTGATCTTCAGAAATGCCTCTCTGCTGCTCCTCTGCTCTTCATCCTCACCGTCCAACACCTCCTCATCCTGCCTCTGACTCTCTGAGCATTCTGGGTAATCTGAACTCAGAACCTTCTGGATCTTCTTCAGCTCGTTCTTCACAAAAGTGACAATGTTGTCCTCCAGCAGCTGGAACAGAATATTATATGAATGACTCAATCAAAGTCAAATCATGGAAGCAAACATCAGATCCATGTTGGACAGACTGACAATCCACTGGTTTAAAAAGTGGAGCATGGAGATTATTGTGAACACAATAGATGTAAAAGTAGTTGTTGTCCATGTACAGACCATAAATATGGAGTCCAGGTGTGTTTGATGCTGCTGGGCAGACTGACCACTGGGAACCTCTGAGCTCTCCTGGTCCACTCTGTGGAGGAATCATGAAGAATGAGCTCACATTATGTCTGTCCACACAGAGACAAACACAAGGTAAAGGTCCATGAAGTGATATTTGGATGTGAACAGTGAATCTGATGACTCCCTGTAGTGGTAAAGGTTTACTAGTCCTGCTGATCCCACTGAGAATCAACAGCTCAGTTTGGTTCAGTCCCAACAGCTCTCACCAACCCCTCCATATAGCTCTCCCTCCCTCACTGTACACTGCTGAAGTGCCCTGGAGCAAGGCACCTAGAGCCTCCAGCTGCTCCAGTGGAGCTGCTCAGTGTCTGCTTATATCAGACTGGTTGTACTGGGCAGCTCCCAGTGTGAATGTGTTTGACTGTGTGAGTGTGAGGCAGCTGCTGCTGAAAGAGTGTTGGTGCTCAGAGAACTTCATCTGAGTCAGTAAAGGTTTAAAAACTGGAGATCTCACAACTGAGAGTCTGATAAAAACACATCATTTTATTTTCATCATCAGTTTGAAATCCTCACCTTTGATCAACAGAGTGGCGGCCATCTTTGAACTCTATATAACGACCCTTAGAGCGATCACTCTTCATGGACACACAGCTGGGTTCAGGTTCAGGACAGTCTGGTCTCTGATGGATCCTGATAGAAAGACATTCATTAAAGCTCACATATTCAGAAACATTGTCACTGAATCAAAGACTTTGTGAAATGATGTATAATTTGAAATGTTTGAATACAGGGCTGGACAATAAGAACAATGTCTTCAATTACTGACATTATGGACGTGTTACTGAACACAATTTACTGATGTCACACACTTCAACACACTGTCTGAATTCCATATAATTAAAGTGAGAGCAGCTACAACATCTAACCAGCGAGCAATCAGCTCCCAGTCCAGTCCAGAAGAGCAGAATGTGGAACTGGTCAGACTGGAATGAATCAGGACAAACATCAGCAGTGAGCAACATGAGGAAGGAAATCTGCTCTGATTGATTCAAACACATGTTACTGTTACATTTCTCATTATGAAGCTGAATGTTTCTCCTGATACTGATTTGAGATCAGATTGTCCAGCCCTGTTTGAATACTGACAACTACGTACTTTAGCTCAGATAAATGTCTTTGTTTCAAATGGAGAATCAAAGCCTTTGTGACACCCGCAGCGTTACTATTGGGCCTGGGCCCACCCATTTTGACCCAGGCCTATAGTGAGTAGTGAGTGATTTTCATTCTAGCTGTTCATCCAATAAGCAGCCTGAGGAAAGCTTTGAGTAGGCTTAAGACGTTCCTCTATGATAAAGCTTATAGTTAGGGCTGGATCAGGTGAGTCCTGAACCATCCCTTAGTTATGCTGCTATAGGCCTAGACTATCGGGGGATTTCCCATGGTGCACTGAGCTCCTCCCTTCCTCTCTCTTTCTGCACTCATTCATGTTCCATTAATGCATGTTACTAACTTCACTTCTTCCCCGGAGTTCTTGTGCTTTCTCGTCTCGCAGGTTCTTGTCGATCCTGGTGGAGCCTCCTGCCATGGTCCTGCTAGATTGCCATTGCCAATATCACTATATATAATATCACATAAGTATTATTATAGCTATGGTTACTGTTGTTGCTGTTGTCACTGCTCATTGTCCCCCATCGTTGCTGTTGTCATGTTCATCATCATCAGTTGTTGCTACTGTTGTTGCTATGCACCTCTCTCTCTCTCTCTCTCTCTCTTTCTCTCTCTCTCTCTCTCTCTCTCTCACCCCAACTGGTCGAGACAGACGACCACCCACCTAGAGCCGGAGGATCTGTCCTAGGTTTCTGCCTTTTAACAGGCAGTTTTTCCTTGCCCTTGTCTCCAAGGTCTTGCTCATGGTGGTACTGTTGGGCCTCTGTAAATAATGTTAAAGAGTTCGGTCTAGACCTGCTCTATTTGAAAAGTGTCCTGAGATAACTTCTGTTATGAATTGGCGCTATACAAATAAAATTGAATTGAATTGAATTGAGTGAAAGCTTCTCAGCCAATCAGCGGCTTCTACCCCACGTGTGGACTCTTAAGTCTGCCCACAGGCTGCATCGTCACCAGCAAGTGATCCAATGAAATAATTGACGTTGGCGCGCAAGCTTTTCAAGCAAGCTCAATGAGACAGACACAGACGGTAGCTATTAGCTAATATGAAACGTCAACATGGCAAAGCAAAGCAGCTTGTTTTCATTTAAATTCACCAAGAAACGCCCTGAGGACGAGTGACGAGTTACCATCCAGCTTGGCCGCCCTCTCCCCATCATGTCCTCCCGTAGCCACCCCCTCACACCAGCAAGGCAAGTACAGTTAGGCTCAATGCTGCTGTTATTTCATCTTGATACAGTTCTTCTGTCATTCTGAATGTTGAGAAACAGTTAAATAATTTTGCCCGCCGTGCTGGGTAAATAAATGGAGAGAGAAACAGACCCTCCAAAGATTTAATTCTGTTTCAGTCTTTTTGTGTATTGAACGTTCAAAAGAGACAAATGAAGTTAGGCTTACTGAGTCGCTGTCCTCAGTGCCGCAGAAAAACGCTGAAATGGAGATGAAGAGGAACCCGTTTTTATTTTGGCTTATTTTAACTGGCCCATCCAGTTTTCTGGAGGCCCACCCACAATCAAAATCCTGGCGCCGCTAGTGCTTTGTGACATGGAGAAGAGTCATGGACAGTTAGAGATCCTCATCTCACCTCTGAGCTTTGGTCCTTGTGTCATGTTCCCCACACAGAGTGCTTTTAGAGGGAGGGACTCCCTCCTCTCTGTCCTCACACTGATTCATAGCAGAGCCCACACCTTCACACAGACACAGCAACCTGCTGGGAGAGATCACACATTATTTCATATTTATTTCTACTATCAGTCCACTAGATGGCCTCATCATTTTACTGCTCTGTTTCATGGAAATAAAAAGTATGTTTGAAGTAACTGACTTTGACCACTGGTCATAGTGAAGAGTCAGTTTAACTATTCTACACCTCCTTCTGTCTGCTCCTCTTTTCCTCCTCCTCTCCTCAAACCAGCAGCTGGCAGCAAACACAGACCTGAAACTGGGTTTCCTGCGTTCCACCACTGATAACAAGATATCAAACATTTAGTTGGAGCAGAGAGAAGGGCTTGGTTTGTTGGCACATCTTCAGTTTTGATTTTAGTTGTTTTTACAGTGAAGGCCCTAACCCTTAAAGAACACAAAGAAACACACATTCATTCAAAATGGCTTCTCTCCTGTTCAGCTCCCCTTTAACACAGAAAAACATCTTTAAAAACTGTTAAAAGTCTGCCAGCAAATTTACAGTTATTACATAAGACAAAATATCTCATCATCTGACTCCCTCCCAGAAGAAAATTCTTTTTTTAAGCTCCTACTTGGCCCACCAGGAGCAAAGGGTTTGATTCCAAAATTGGTTTGTATTTTCTCCTACAAACTTGCACAGCCTGATGTTAAATTTAAACAAATGTGGGAGGCTGATCTCAACATCAATATTCAAGATGAAATATGGAAACAAGCTTTAAATGACATTCACCATTGCTTGTCAGTGCTAGGCTACAATTGATTCAATTCAAGGTCATACACAGGTTACGCTGTTCGCAGGTTAAGTTGCATAAAATCTTTCCCCAAACTTCCCCCCTGTGTGAAAGGTGCAATAAATCAGATAGCACACTTGCACACCAACTTTGGCTATGCCCTGAGATTCAAGACTTCTGGTGTTGGATTTTCAGATGGTATTCTCATGTACTTAAAGTAAACCTGGATCCTGACCCTGAAACTGCTTTACTTGGCATTTCTAACACTTTGGACAAGATGGGTCGGAGTGTTAGTACAGTGGTGGCCTATGGTATGGTCATAGCAAAGAGATGTATTTTGAGAGTGTGGAAATCTGACTCACCACCTAAGTTTGAAGCCTGGCTGAGGGAGCTAGTAGGAATCCTCCACATTGAAAAACTGAGATATGAGATTTCTGGTAAGAAATGTTGGGGACCTATCTTGGAGTACTTGAAACTGTAGTTAACCCCCCTAAAGAGTATCTATCTTGACATAATTGATGTACTCAAGTGGACATTCAACTCTGATACTATGTTAAGCCTCTTTGTGTGTACTTTGTTTTTACACGTTATAGTCTGTGTCAAAATGTCTTATTTTTATGTATTTTATTTTTTTAATATTGTTTTATTATTATATATGTGTGTGTTTGTCTGTTGCTTCAATTGTTAAGAAAATTGTAAATAAAAATTTTATTTGAAAAAAAAAAAAAGCCCACAAAAAAAAAAAAAAAAAATATTTTTTTTTAAATTAAAAAAAAAAAAAAACCCCCCACCAAAAAAAAAAAAAAAAAAAAAAAAAGGGGGGGTTAATCCTCCCCCCCCCGTGGGCCGGAGGGCCCCCCCCCCCCCCCCCCCCCCCCCCCAAAAAAAAAAAAAATTTTGGAAAAACAAAACAAAAAAAAAAAAAAAAAAAACCCCCCTCCCCCCAAAAAAAAAAAAAAAAAAAAAAAAAAAAAATTAAAAAAAAAAAAAAAAAAAAAAAAAAAAAAAAAAAAAAAAAAAAAAAAAAAAAAAACCATTTCAACCAATCAGAGCTCCACTTACTGAACTTTTAGCCATGAACTTCATCAGTGTGCAGCTCTCTTCTGTCCTCAGCAGCTCTGTGGAGAAAAGGAGCTTCATGCTTCAAGTTCAACTTCAGATAAAATGAAGAGACGTCACTGCTTCTCCTTCATTAGAGAGAGTGTGTGTGTGTGTGTGTGTGTGTGTGTGTGTGTGTGTGTGTGTGTGTGTGTGTGTGTGTGTGTGTGTGTGTGTGTAAGCAGTCTAACTGGTTGGACTGAGTCTCAGACTGAGCTGCGTTCAAATCAAAATAAATAATCTTGTACAGAGTTGGTTTGACAGCAGACTGGATTCTGATAGTTCAGAGGAGTCGTACTCGCCCCTCTTTGTGACCTGGATTTCTCTTCTATCTGGACTACTGGGGAAGAGGATCAAGCAGAAACCAGAGTCTGACTTCCTGCCCAGAACTGTAATTAATAATACAGTTAACAATATACTGCTTTGTTACCTGGGGAGAAAATCACCAGACTCTATTTAAAAATCACAGTTTTTGATGTGTTGAGTCAGAGGAAACTTTCTACAAGAGGGGCCTCAAACTGCCGGCCCAGGGGCCATTTCTGGCCCTCCATCCACCGCCCACCGGCCCTCAACATAATATTAAAAACTAGAATATAATCTGGCCACAGGATTTATATGATTTCATAAGCAGTACGGTGTAGACCTGCTCTGTCTGAAAAGTGTACTGAGATAACTAATTATGATATATATATAGATATATATATTTATATATATAAACTTATTTATTATTTCGAGTTGTCTTAGCAATTTGAACTTCGACATCATGTACAATTAAAATACTTTTTATTTTTACTGGCAGAGGTCAAAGGTCAGATGTGCCTGTAAATGTGTACCAACAGTTGATGAGAAGAGAGCTTGCAGAACAATGACTGAATAATGGAGCTGAGATCTCCTTTAAATGAGGAGTGCTCCTCGTCATGGAGGAGGATTTGGCTCCCTCTGGTGTCACAAACATAAAGTGCATCCTGTCAGTTGAAGTGAAACAGATTACAGACTGTTTTCAGTGTTTGGAAATCATCCAGATATCAACAGGTAGAGATCATTGGTCCTGATGTTACATCATGTCAGCTCTGCTCAGTAGTTATTTCCTATTCTGTCTCTTCTTCTCTGGGCTTTATTATTATTATTATTATTATTGATATTATTATTATTATTATTGATAAAAATAATTAGTGAGCTCGAGTTTAATGTATATTTCACGTATTGTTTCAATGTGTTGTTCCTTAATGTGTCTGATTTGTTTCTAATAGTGAAGTTTGGACCAAAGAATGAATGCTTTTTGTAAAACACTAACATTTCCCACCGCCCCTGAAGGCAGCAGAAGAGCCCGCCCCCTCACCTATCACAGAGCGGAGCTGTGATTGGTGGAGAGCTGACGTCGTCAGAGGGTGTAACCTCAGCAGGAAGGAGGAAACAGTGAGTCGACAGACACAGCGACTGTCTCTACCTGCAGCAGGTGAGTCCATTTACTGTTTGTGTGCACGTGGTCACATTCAGGAAACTCCTCGTGTTCCCTCAAACGAGAGCAGTTGAAATCGTTCTGATCACAAAGAGTAGAGGATTACAGAAGTTACTGCAGCTGCGCAGTCGGCTCCACTCACTGTGCTCTATGTTCGACTCTTATTCTGAAAAGCTGTTCAGTCCCTGTAGTTCATATTTCAAAGTAAAACACAGAGAAGATCCATTAATCAGTTAATGTACAGAAGTAAATACAGTACAGTACTACAGCTGAGGATACAACAACTCTATTTATTTATGTAATAACAACAACAACAACAACAACTCTATTTATTTATGTAATAACAACAACAACAACAACAACTCTATTTATTTATTTAATAACAACAACAACTCTATTTATTTATTTATTTAATAACAACACAACAACACTCTATTTATTTATTTAATAACAACAACAACAACAACTCTATTTATTTATGTAATAACAACAACAACAACAACAACAACTCTATTTATTTATTTATTTAATAACAACAACAACAACAACTCTATTTATTTACTTTATTTATAAAACACAGTTTACAAAGTGCTTTGACAGACAAAGCAAAATTATCATGATACACAAAATGTATTGAATATAAAAAAAACACAATAAGAGCTATAAAGTTTAATAAAAAAAGACTTAAAGAAATAATTTAAACTGACTCTATGAGCACATTTATTTTTTATTTTAATTTATTTTATTATATTATATTATATTATATTTTATTATTTTATTTTATTATATTATATTTTCCCTCTGACATCCTCCGGCTGCTTCCACTCTCTGAGAGTTTCCTGATGGACAGATAACTTTAGCTAAAGTAGCTAACTAACTGCTGCTAACTGTATCTGCTGTTAGCGGGTGACAGAACCGGGCTCAGCAGCCGGACCGGGATCGAACGCAGCCTCCGAGACCGACAGGGAATAACATTACAGTACTGAGTTTCCTGATGGAAAGATTGATCAGGCAGTGTTTCCTTGCCACTGTCTCCAAGGGCTTGCTCATGGTGGTACTGTTGGGTCTCTGTAATTAATGTTAAGGAGTTCGGTCTAGACCTGCTCTATTTGAAAAGTGTCCTGAGATAACTTCTGTTTTGAATTGGCGCTATACAAATAAAACTGAATTGAATTGAATTGAATCAACCACTCGCTCGGTCCGGCTGTGTTCACTGGAAGGTAGACACTAGCTCATCGATAGCAGTAAGGACGTAACGCTCAGCGCTGTAAACGTCGGTCAGTCCCTCCCTAACTTCCTGTTCTTACAGGAAACACGTAACTATGAGGAAGTAAACAGACTCTGATTCCTGTTTCATGGAGACTCTGATGTGATATTTTACTCACATTACAGGGACTCAGCAGCCATCAGGGGACACTGAGCGGCAGCAGGTCCCCATAAGGAGGGCTCCACAGTGCGACCAAAATTTTTAAGAGTGCGACTAATAATTGTTCTAGGTCGCTCTGGTGCACCTGACGCTGCCCGGGTGAAAACATACATTTATTTCGCAAGCACATCATCTCTCTGTGTTCTCCTGTGAGTGAACTCACACTCATGGTAGGATCATATCGGGTTCTAAACCAATAAGAGACAGAGCTCGGGCGGGTCTTTGCCTCTGATTGGCTGTGGTCCTGTTCATCGCGCTAAGTTGCGTGTGTTTAAAAATTGCCGAGCCCCGGTCCTTCGGCGACAGCATCAGACTCAGAACCAGAGGAGGTGACAACCGAGTCTGGGATAGAGCTCGGCTCCGAGAAACAAATTAAAAAGGCCAAAATATATTCCTTCAGACAGGACTGGCTGAAACAAGTTCCCTGGCTGAGGTTCAACAAAGGACGTTACGCAATGCACTGCGTGTACTGTCAGGAGTGCGGTCAGAATATGGCCGGAAATAGAGCATTCGTGAGCGGGTCAACAACGTTTTGTATCAAACTTTTATTTGGAAATGTTTTATTTTGCTTAGTGTTTTAGTTTGAAATGTTCAATTTCAGCTCAGTGAAACACTTTAAACACTTTATTTTTCTTTTTATATATAACTGTGCTTCAAATAAAGACAAGCATTTCTCTACACCTTATTCTTGTTTAAAAATCATTCACATTATATGAAAGTTATGGAGAGCGATAAAAAGGTGACCTTATGGCGTTAAAGACGCCGCAATGAAAAATTTGGGTGCATCTACATTTTGTGCTGATGCAACCAATGCAAAAAGTTAGTCTAGAGCCCTGGTGTGTGTGTCTGTGTGTGTCTGTGTGTGTGTGTGTGTGTGTGTGTGTGTGTGTGTGTGTGTGTGTGTCTGTGCAGTGATGGGGGGTCAGGTCTCGTCAGTAGAGGGCGTCCACGTCGTTATCGTGGGCGGCGGATTCGGGAGGCATCGCCGCGGCTCAGCAGCTGAAATCTCACAGACTCGACTTCACTCTGATCGACATGAGAGACGCGTTTCATCACAACGTGGCGGCGCTCAGAGCGTCAGTGCAGCCCGGTACGCTGACTCATTTTAATCTCATTATTCTGTTTATTTCACATCTGATTTTATAATTTTTATCTTTCAATATTTTGTTTTATTACTTTAATGTCTAAGAAAATTTTATTTAATTTTTATTTGGATTTTCTTTTAGTTTTAGATTTTACTTTTTACCTTGTTATTGGTTTTATTTTAGGTGATTATATTATAAATATTAATTAATATAATATATATTATTTGTTTATATTTTTTGACCTGTGACCTCTGACCTGTGACCTGTGACCCCGTGTCGTCCTGCAGGATTCGCTCAGAGGACCTTCATCCCGTACGCTGAGACGTTTGGAGACAGTTTCGTTCAGGGTCGAGTGGAGCGAGTCGACACCGACAGACAGACGGTCGTCCTGGAGGGAGGGAGGGTGAGGAGGGGGGGGGGGCTAGGCTAACTATTTCCCCTTGTTTACAGTCTTTGTGCTAAGCTAGGCTAAACACGCCCTGACCTTTGAACTGGACACAGAGACGACACTGATATCCGTCTGATTACGATAGACATATTTTTGAATAAACTGGATTCAACTTAGTTTTCAAGTCTGATTCTGTAGGAAAGAGTTTGCTAACTGTATTTTATTTATTTATTTATTTATTTGTTTGTTTGTTTGTTTGTTTGTTTGTTTGTTTATCCGAACGTGGTCTGAAAACTACAGATGAACAAACAGGATGTAAACATTTCTGTGACTTCCTGTTTGTTCTCTGAAGGCTACTGGAAACTGATTTGACTGAATGGATGTTGTTAGCTTTGGACAGAGCTAGGCTAGCTGTTTCCCCCTATTTCCAGTCTTTATGCTAAGCTAGGCTAACCAGCTGCTGGCTGTAGCTTAATGTTTTAGTGGATTGAACGGTTCCACTGCATTATTTTATATTCTTCTGTGTGTTTATATTTTATTTTCAGAAGATTTACTTTCACTTCATTTTTTGTTTTAAGAGATTTTTTAATTATTTTTTTGTATTTGGCTTTTTATGTTCATTTAATATTTATTTTTGGTTGATTTAGTTCATATGGTATTTTAGTTATTATTGTCATTATACACTCAACTATATATAAAATAATTAAATTATCATTATTATTATTGTTATTATTATAAATATTATCATTATTAGTAGTTTACTTGCAGACTGACTCAGGATCAGGTCAAACAGGTGAGTTTGCCGCCACCTGGTGGTCAGATCTGCACATTACATCCTGTTTGTCCTGCAGGAGATCCGGTTCTCCCACCTCATCCTGAGCACCGGTACCGACGGGCCGTTCCCCGGGAAGTTTAACACCGTGGCGACGTATCAGAGCGCCGTCCAGGCGTACGAGGACTTCATTAAACAGGTAGGATGATGGGACGGATACCTGCAGCCTGCAGAGGGCGGGGCCATCATTCACCCTGTGTCTGTCTGTCTGTCTGTCTGTGTGTCTGTGTGTGTGTGTGTGTGTGTGTGTGTGTCTGTGTGTGTGTCTGTCTGTCTGTCTGTCTGTCTGTCTGTGTGTGTGTGTGTGTGTGTGTGTGTGTGTGTGTGTGTGTGTGTGTGTGTAGGTCCAGGCAGCAGACTCGGTGTTGGTGGTTGGAGGAGGGTCGACGGGTGTAGAGATGGCAGCCGAGATCAAGACAGAGTATCCGGACAAGAAGGTGATCAGAGACCGAACTGACCTCTGAGATAGACAACAACAACAACAACAACAACAACAACAATAATAATAATGTTTTGTAACTGTGTTAAAAAGTACCAATATAACAATTTCTGACAATTATAGATTATTGATTGAATCAGAGTTTATACACTGTAGTCGTACGGAAGCTTTGAGGTTCTCATGTTCTCCTCATCTCCAGGTGGTTCTGATCCACTCTAAGATCGGGCTGGCTGACCCGGAGCTGCTGCCCAGCGTCAGGCAGCAGGCCAAAGAGGTTCTGCTGGAGAAAGGAGTGGAGCTGCTGCTGGGTACCGAGAGCTGCTTTATATTCTGTGTTTTTCTCAGACCCGGTTTTATAGACCCGGTTCTCTCAGAGCGGTTTTATAGACCCGGTTCTCTCAGGGCGGTTTTATAGACCCGGTTCCCTCAGGGCGGTTTTATAGACCCGGTTCTCTCAGAGTGGTTTTATAGACCCGGTTCTCTCAGAGCGGTTTTATAGACCCGGTTCCCTCAGGGCGGTTTTATAGACCCGGTTCTCTCAGAGCGGTTTTATAGACCCGGTTCTCTCAGAGCGGTTTTATAGACCCAGTTCCCTCAGGGCGGTTTTATGGACCCGGTTCCCTCAGAGTGGTTTTATGGACCCGGTTCCCTCAGGGCGGTTTTATGGACCCGGTTCCTTCAGAGTGGTTTTATAGACCCGGTTCTCTCAGAGCGGTTTTATAGAGCCGGTTCTCTCAGAGCGGTTTTATAGACCCAGTTCCCTCAGGGCGGTTTTATGCACCCGGTTCCCTCAGGGCGGTTTTATGGACCCGGTTCCCTCAGGGCGGTTTTATGGACCCGGTTCCTTCAGAGTGGTTTTATAGACCCGGTTCCCTCAGGGCGGTTTTATAAACCCGGTTCCCTCAGAGTGGTTTTATAGATCCCCTTCCCTCAGAGTGGTTTTATGCACCCGGTTCCCTCAGAGCGGTTTTATGGACCCGGTTCCCTCAGAGCGGTTTTATGGACCCGGTTCCCTCAGAGCGGTTTTATGGACCCGGTTCCCTCAGGGCGGTTTTATGGACCCGGTTCCTTGAGAGTGGTTTTATAGACCCGGTTCCTTCAGAGCGGTTTTATAAACCCGGTTCCCTCAGAGCGGTTTTATAGATCCGGTTCCCTCAGAGTGGTTTTATGGACCCGGTTCCCTCAGAGTGGTTTTATGGACCCGGTTCCCTCAGGGCGGTTTTATGGACCCGGTTCCCTCAGGGCGGTTTTATAGACCCGGTTCCCACAGAGTGGTTTTATGGACCCGGTTCCCTCAGGGCGGTTTTATGCACCCGGTTCCCTCAGAGTGGTTTTATGGACCCGGTTCCCTCAGGGCGGTTCTATGGACCCGGTTCCTTCAGAGCGGTTTTATAGACCCGGTTCCCTCAGAGTGGTTTTATGCACCCGGTTCCTTCAAGGCGGTTTTATAAACCCTGTTCCCTCAGAGCGGTTTATGGACCCGGTTCCCTCAGAGCGGTTTTATGGACCCGGTTCCCTCAGGGCGGTTTTATAGACCCGGTTCCCTCAGAGCGGTTTTATGGACCCGGTTCCCTCAGGGCGGTTTTATAGACCCGGTTCCCTCAGAGCGGTTTTATGCACCCGGTTCCCTCAGAGCGGTTTTATGCACCCGGTTCCCTCAGGGTGGTTTTATGGACCCGGTTCCCTCAGAGCGGTTTTATGCACCCGGTTCCCTCAGAGCGGTTTTATAGACCCGGTTCCCTCAGGGTGGTTTTATGGACCCGGTTCCCTCAGAGTGGTTTTATAGACCCGGTTCCCTCAGGGTGGTTTTATAGACCCGGTTCCCTCAGAGTGGTTTTATGGACCCGGTTCCCTCAGAGTGGTTTTATATACCCGGTTCCCTCAGAGTGGTTTTATATACCCGGTTCCCTCAGAGTGGTTTTATGGACCCGGTTCCCTCAGAGTGGTTTTATGGACCCGGTTCCCTCAGAGTGGTTTTATATACCCGGTTCCCTCAGGGTGGTTTTATGGACCCGGTTCCCTCAGGGCGGTTTTATGGACCCGGTTCCCTCAGGGCGGTTTTATGGACCCGCTGTGTGTTTCAGGTCAGAAGGTGTCCCACCTGTCGGAGCTGCAGCTGAACGTGACCCAGAAGAACACGGTGGTCAACACGGATAAAGGCCACAGTCTGACCACGGATCTGATCATCTGCTGCACCGGACTCAAGGTCAACGCCGCAGCGTACGCCGCCAGCTTCTGTGAGTGCGTCGGCGTACAAAGCATTCTGGGTACCTGAACACCAGAGGATCAATAATCAGACTGATCAGGGATCTGTTTGTGTCGACAGCCGGTTGCCTGGCCGATAACGGCGCTCTGAAGGTCAACGATCACCTGCAGGTCGAAGGTTTCTCCAACATCTTCGCCGTGGGCGACTGCGCCAACGTCAAGGAGCCCAAGATGGCTTACCACGCCGCACTGCACGCGGCCGTTGCCGTTAGCAACATCGCCAATAGTGTGAGCGGGAAGGAGCTGACCTCGTATCACACAGGTCACACACACACACACACACCCTTATTGTTCCATTTAGGGAGCATTTAATGGATGTTTGCTGGTTGCTAGGTAACGTCACCATGTTGCTGGCGATGGGCCGTGACGACGGCGTCGGCCAGTTCAACGGGCTGAAGTTGCCGCGTTGCCTCGTCACTCTGGGGAAGAGTCGAGATCTGCTACTGTGGAAGAGCTGGAGGGAGATGGAGCAGAAACAACCCTAACACACACACACACACACACACACACACACACACACACACACACACACACACACACACACACACACACACACACACACACACACCTCTTCTGAGAATTAATCATTTTTTACTCGTTTTCATATTCAAGTTATTTTCGTTACTCTGAGAAAACTCAACTTTATTGTGACTTAAAGCTGCCATATGTTTCTATAATAATCAGTGAGAGTCACATTATTGATCAGTGTATTGATCAGTGAACGGGTTGTAGTGTAGCTTTGTCCCTCTGCTGCCTGTGTGTCTCTGTGTAAGGATGAGGGTCAAAGGTTGTGACCTTTATGCTCCCGAGTGCCAACAGTGGGCGACACTAGCTGTGGAACATTGTCTGTGCTGTTAGCTGGATAACGTTAGCTTGGTTGCTAATGTGGCAAAAATCAGCTGGTAGCCGTTTTATATTTAAATATTTAACTTTACAGCTGGAAACAACTTATTGTAACAAACTTCATTAAACATAAGCTAACTTTAATACACATGGTAAACATTACTACTAATGTTCATTTACCTCTAATGGAATATGTTACTGTTCAGTTATTAATTAAAATGAAGCACAAATGTATCAAACAGATTCTTTATTATAACTTTTCAAACAATTAATAAAAATATTTTAAACATGAAGATCTCGTGTTCTCATTCATCAACAGCAGAATCATAAAATGAGTTCAGTGTGTTCATACAGAAAATCATCATCATCAATAATCCATCAGCTTCTGCTGCTGAAGGTTTCCTTTAAAATTCAGACACATTTCCACAATCACACACTTAAAATACATTAATAATAATAATAATAATAATAATAATAATAATAATAATGCTGCAGAATCAAATATTCACCGTGTGATTCACAAAGTGAGTTAAAGTCAAACATTTGGTGGAAGTGAAACGTGTTTGGAGACTTCTCCGGCCGCCGATCAGCCGCCATCATACGTCAAATAAATACCAATAAATCAATAAATAGATCAGACGGAGATCTGAAAACACTTTAGTATAAACTACAGATGTTCAACAGAGTCAAACCTCATCAGGAAGGAATATTGATTATAATCGATTACCAAACATTAACACATCAGATCGGCCTCGCTGTGACTCAGACACACCTGTAGGGCTGCTGCCTCCTGATTGGCTGCTCGCAGACGTGAATGAAGGTGTGTTCAGGTGAAACCGCTCAAACCGGTCCAACCGGTACGAGCAGGACGGGTGCGGCCTGCAGGAATGTGTCGGGTGTGTCGAGGCGACGGCTACATGGACGCTTCAAAATCAATAAATAAAATAAATAAGTGAGGGAAGGTCGAGAATCAGCAGCTGGTTTCAGATTTTGTGACGAAGAAAATGAAAAACTTCCATCAGAAGAAATTTAAAAAAAAACAAAAAAAGCACAAAACCAATAATTTAGTGATAATCTGAAGAGAGTTTGTGGTTAGATCTGCTCCATTTAAACTACGGAGGACAATTAGGGCCAAAAACATTTATCTGAGTTCTGAAGATCAAAACTTTAAACTCAGAATTTGACCTTTTAAATACTTTAACTCAAGTAAATTTGTAACGTGGCCCCAATTATCTTCCATAAAAACACTACTTGATACTTTTATTTAACAGACGTGATTGTTGGAGGGTCGAGGAGACGCCAGCACTTTGTTTTTGACTTTGAACAAACGGCTTCATCATGAGTTCATAAAACGTTCTGATTCATTTCAAAAGGTCAAAGTTCAGCAGCTCCAGCATCAGTCATCATGACAAACCTCCCAGAATGCCGCTGGCGGAGCCTCGGCCGTGTTCACTCCGCCTTGGCGGTCTTGCCGTCGGCGCGGCGGCGCAGGTACGTCTGGTAGAAGAAGTTGGAGAAGAGCAGCAGGTAGCTGAGGTACATGAGCGCGGCCCAGGTGATGTTGTCGATGCGCGAGGGGCAGTCGCCGTGCTGCATCCATCGGTACACCAGCCCGCTCACCGTCAGCCCCATCGCCATCTGACTGATCTGAGCGCTGGTGATGAGCACGGCGAAGGGTCGTGGCACGCGCAGGCCGGCAGCGCGCGCGGCATAGTAGCTGTACATGAGTGCGTGCACGCCGTAGTTCATGGTCATGAACCAGCCGCCGCCGGCCACCATGTCTTTGTAGGAGTACCAGGAGTACAGCAGCACGGTGATGTGGTGGTACCAGTGCAGGAAGAGCAGCTTCTGCTTCCTCAGCACCACGAACGCCGTGTCGCCTGCGAGACGAGAACCAGGGTTTAATTACACAGCAGCTTATTATTATTATTATTATTATTATTATTATTATTAGTAGTAGTAGTAGTAGTATTGTTGTTGTTGTTGTTGTTGTTGTTGGACTGACCGAGCTCCGGGGCTTTGCTCAGGACGAAGGCGTAGGCCCAGAACTTGCTGACGGGTCCGTTGTAGAAGCTCTGGTCGCAGATGGACTGTCGGAAGCCGCTGCTGCTCAGGATGTGAAACATGTAGCAGCCGGTTCGGATGGCGCCGATGATACTGCAGACAAAAACACAAGAGAAGAAGAGACGGCCGTCAGGTTCTGCTGGTTTATCCATCAAATGATTTATTGGGTCAAAGGTCAACGTCACATTCTTCAGCTCTGATCAATAAAGTCTCATTAATCACTTTAATAACTGATCAATAATTAATGTGACGATGAGGACAAGGTGAACAGAAACCTCGCCATCCCATAATTATCTTCACTGGCAAAACTGACAGCTTGTTACCATGGAGACGCATGTGTTAGCAGAGCCTCCACCACAGCACGCTGCCGGTTACCGTGGAGGCTGGAGGTCGCCGCCACTGTCTCCAAGGCAACGACCCGGTCAGCAAAAACAAACCACAGTGTGGACAAAATAACAGAAACACCTGAGCAGACTCACCTGGAAACAAACAGACTTAAAAGGTGTGTCGTTACCTGAAGAGAGCGAGGCTGAGCGACCAGAGGACGAGCGGCCGCCGCAGGTTCAGTTTGGGTCGAGGCTTCATGAAGTGCTGACCGCCAAACACCAGGGCGGCGTATAGAGCGCTGAACACGAAGGACTTACTCCTGCAGGAGGAAACACACGAAGGGTTAAAACTTCTGAACTAAAATAAAACGTTACAATGCTAATATATTAATAATCTTCAGATTAAAATAAATTATAAAAATAAACAATTAAAACTACTGAATTCTATTTGGCTTCGTTTAATGTGAATTAGGTTTTTAATTAATTAAATGTAAATTATTTTGAGTTTTACATCTCCAGCACCTGAGCACAGTCACTGTTGCCTAGCAACAACAAACAAACTACAGTTGTTCAGCAGGTAGCTGACACACCTGAGTCTGATTAAAGTGTCTTCACTATAAAATCCTTTAAAACGATTTATTTGATTGATACACTGATCAAAATAAAAAACATTCAACTTCTTTCTGCGAGTTTTTATTCGCGTTTCCGGCGAATATTTTAATATTTCATCAGCTCTTTTACCGGATCAACCGGGTCTCATTACCGCAACAACATACCGCAAATACACCGCAAAGTGTGACATCACCGGTGAGTCACCTGTAGTACACCTGCAACCTCCACTGAGCACCTTTATATAACTCTCTGGCAGTTTCTCGGTTGTAATCCCGAGAATACTTTAATGTGTTACGTGTTAGCCCCAAATCTGTGCCGCTGAAAGCTTCACCAAACCCCCTCACAAATTACCACGTTTTACATTCTCCATCTCATCTTGTCTGATGTATCTGTCATTTACAGATAAATTCATTTATGTCTGAATTAGTAATATCAGCCTCTCTGTTCGGCATTAATAGAATATAATTAATTTATTTAATTTAGGTTTATTCCAGTAAAACCAGGAGACATTTGACAGGATCGTCGCTGTGGCCTCAGCCTTCATTCACCGCTCTCACGGAGCATTTTTTAGTATCGAGCAAACCGGTTAATGTGAATGAATGTGGGGATGGGTGCCGGTTGACGTACAGGGTGTATGCCGAAACAAGGAGTGGACCACAACCACCCTGAAACCGCCTTTGTTCATATTTTAAACAGCAGAAACCTTTAACAATAAAACGGTAAATTAAAAAGTGGACGATATCTTAAAGGAATTCGGAACGTAGCGTCTCCGTTGAGGAGAGCTCAGTTTATCGGAATACCTCTACTCTTCCTGACTGCTGGGTGACATTTAAACCCTCAATATGAGTAGCTGAGTCACAGTAAGAGTTATTAACGTTTAAATTAGAGTATAATATAAAGTCTTACCAGTTGGCTTGCATCCATTCAATCGCTCCTCTCTCGTCAAAGCGCCGCTCGAAGCCGTATTCAGCCAGCGGCAGGCGGAGCTCGGTCTCATTCAGCAGGTTCATTATTACCGGTTACAGTCGCTGGAATATGTGAAGCTCCACAGTCAGTGTCTCCTCTGCTGCTCCTCCCGCTGTCTGTCTCTCTCACCTGGTTCCGTCCTAATTAAAGCCTATTAGCAGTGGGCGGGGCTTCAAGGAGACACCTGTTGGCTGCTTTGTGTCTTTTTAATCTCGATATTTGTCCTCTTTTAGTTTTACTGACTGTTTCTGTCTTGGTCATTTCAAACTGTTTCTATAGAAGACAAATAGTGTCAAGTGAAAAAAGCTAAAGAGAAATAAGAGGGAAAACTCATTACAGTAAAAAACTGTAATTTAACAGCCACATAACACAGAATCTGGCTCCCAGCTCACTGCACTGTTAAATAAAGTCAATAAAACTTCATTAACATTTTTTAACTTTAAGCCAAACTAAAAATATAAAGTTTTGGATTCAATTTATGATCATTTATTTTCTTTCTTTAGAAAAGCTTGAATCAGAACATCAGAAACCCTCAAACATATAAAAGTTAAAAACAAGATAAAAGCACAAAAATATAAATATAAACGAGTTAAACTGAAAATAAACTTCTAAAACTGATGGATTAATCCATTTTCTAAAGAATAAAACGAAAAAAGTTTCTTAAGACAGTTTCCTTGAAATTATTTGTTTTCTCAGCTGTTTTTTTTTACAGTATCTTTACACTGTAAAACCAAATAAATTCATTTAACTCAAACTTTCAGTCAAACTAACTTAATTTAGTAAACTAAAAAACATTCTTGATCAAGTAGTAGTTTATTTTGTGTTGTGAAAACAAAATACTTAAACTACTGTAACTAAACTATAGTTATTGTCACTTCAAAATAAAAGCTGCTTAATGAAGAATCTGAGTTTGTGTTTCTCATCTTCACTTTTGGCTTTATGGTGAATAAATTAAGATTTTTTTTCATTGATCGTAAACCGATCACTGAGTCTAACCTGTGGCCAATAACATCAGTTTTAAAGGAGTCTACTTTAGAGGGATTCAAACCTTCGACCTTGCAGCTGTCGCTCTGACCTGCAGCTCGTTTATAAACTGATAAACAGGAACAGTTTGTTCCAGATGTGAGGACGGCGTCACACAGTTTGTTTTCTTTAATCTGATAAATGAGTCGCTGGAACAGTTCAGATTCTTTTACCGGAGGAAAAGTATTAAACTGTTAATTCTGATGTCATAAGATTATTCTGACGCTTTAATGTGAAACAGGAGGACAGATTATTACAGATTATTACAGATTATTACAGATTATTAAAGGAAAATGTTCCCGTCTGTGAAACTGGAACCATGAGATGTTTTTACTTTTGTATTAACTGAGATTAAATTCATACAAACATCATAAAACATCTTTACAACACATTCATTTCATTTAATTAATATATAGGCTTTTTATTGTGAAAACCACGTGTCAATCAGAAATGTTTT